GGCGCTCACCGTCGCGGCGGCGGCACTTGACGCGCGCGGGTTCGTCCGAAGTCGGCGGTATCGCCGGCGATCGTCGACGCCGCCGCCACTGCCACCACCGTCATCGTCGTCATCGGACAGCAGCGCCAGCTATACACGACACCGGCAGAACACCATCAACTTTGGCCGTGGTAGTATGCGTTTGCCGTTCGCCGTTGATCAGTGTGGTGTGCATGTGTGATATCGCATCATCATATTCGGTCATCGCCGCCGCCACAACCAGTCGTATTATTATTATTATTATTATTATCTGCACGGTCGCGTATGTCACAGCGATACGATAGTCATTTTGTTGTTATATTTTAATTTTAAATTACCGATTACGATATAATATTATAATATTAATAATTTTAAATAATATCGTTGTGTCGTATGGATTAAAATAAATTTGCATCTACTGTCGTCGTCGACGTCACTCCGTCACAGCTGATATTCGAAATCGACGGCGGTTTAAATCCGTTCAAATTTTCGTTTATTTTTAACGCCGTGAGAAAATCAACTCTCCGCCGCCCGTCATTGGTCTACAAAAAGAAAACGTGCGTAGTCTGTTCTAGCTTTAAGYATCTATTTAGTATTTATTATGATATCTTAAAATTACTTAAACATATTAATACACGTAATTTGTTATTCATTATAGTAATAAATTATGGTCTTTTTACTTACATTTCTCTCGATTTTCTAGCCATATATAATATACTTAGGTGTTATTTTTAAATTTAAATCGAACAAGATGTTTCGGTGATTTTCTTTTTCTGTCAGGTTTTTAAGTTTGATGCATATATATTACCCTTTATACTTACCATTTTTTCTGTTTTCCAGGTAAATTATCACGATTACAACGCATCCTATTCCAAGGTAAGTCGTCAATAACGATTTATTATACGTTTTTATTTGCAACCTTATAAGGTGCCGCAATGTCGTTTGGCACATTTCCACATATAAACGCGCGCGCACACACACACCACTCTCTCTCAAACTCACCCGCGCAGGCACACGCAGCATTTTAACATGTACGACACGGTGGTTTTTTCCCTCCGATTTAAGAACGGGTGGGATATTAAAAAAAAAATTTTCAAATTTATCGCCATTTTCCGCCGGGCATATGTTGGCATTATGTCGGGGGTTAACCCATGGTAGACGGTAACGCATGATAACGATAGTCATTAGAAGCTGGCGCGATGGGTAAACGCTCAAGTCGCGCGGC